CGCGGTGACAACAGCGCGGACACTGCTTGTATATATATATATATTTGCGAACGTGTATCTCTCTAGCGTAAAATTGTGTTATCGCAAGAGGTACGCATATATTTTTTTCTACATTACACCCTATGTACGTTTTTTAATTGCCCTCCAGTAACTCTGTACGTGAGTCTTCCTACCGACGCGTGTATTTGATCAAAATTTTTGGCTATCGATAATACAAGAGAAACGGCTTAAAGGAAACTAGTTTTGGAATTGCCAATTGTGTTTTCGCGAATTAATTAGAACAATATATCAAACTTAAACATTACACTTTAACTTTACATTACTATTTAATTTAAAAATTAAACTTTTTCATTATCAAAAGATGTTAAAAAATTACGTTTCTCGTAGTCATTAAATTGAACAAAATAAATTAATCTCATTGCGAGAAACATACGTGAATGCGACCGTGAAAAAAGAATTGAAAAAAAAAAAAATCGTTGCATTCTTTTCATCTTATTTGACGAATATATGTGTGTATATGTTCCCTCGGAAACGTATAGTACAATCGCGCACTTCACAAATTTATATTTTTATCTCTTTACGAGAATGTGTGTCATGTCTCGAGAAGCAAACACCGTTATATTTTTCAATAACTAACTACGCGATCGTACACGTACATACATTTTTGATTTGACTGCATTTTACGCAGACGCTTTGCGATCCTTCGGAATCCGTTCCGAATCAATATTTCAAACGTATAGCCTGTAAAAAATAAACGAGCAACCTCAGCGAGGCGTTTCCTAAATCGTCTCGGGAGGGGGGGGATGTTCCAAGTTCGCCTAAGCAAATTTACAAAGCAGGCAAGGGTATAATATCAACTAGCTTAATATCAAACACACGTTGAAATACCGCAAACACATTAATAATCAAAGTATACTATACATTGATAGAGAGATATATATTATATATATGTATATATATATATATGTATATATATATATATATATATATATATACATACGCGAGGAAAAGAACCTGATTATTATTACCTTAGACGTATGATATAATTAAATGATAATTGTTAAGTAAGTGTAACTAAGTTGTAAAACTATTGCGAGGGCTGTCGCTTCTATATAAGCGGCAAGATCTTCCGTTCATTAAAAAGATCTGCGATTTCGTCGTCGTATTATAACCGGTTCGACACCGCTCCTTTCTTACGAAACGATTTATAAAGGTGTGTGACTGGTGTAGGACAACATTGTGGGAAATCCGTGTGCTTGATATGCAACAAACAATTTTCGATATCGCATCTTTTGGGTGTCGTTTGGGAAGTTGCGCGTCAGTTTCTAGTTGTTTCTCCGTTTGTTTCCTCTTTGATTTCTCCGAGCGTAAGGAAGAAAAATCGGGGCGATTCGATTGCGTTTCGATCACATCCTAGGAAAGAGAGGGACAAGTTTCGCGTTGTTTTTCTTTGTGATTCCGTTTCGCACATTCGTCGCTTTTCTACGCGTTGAGTCGCGTGGTGAAAAAAAAAAAACTTGTTTGAATTCGCGCCTAAAAACGCTACGTGGGATTTAAAAAAAAAAAAAAAAAAAAAAAAAACAAATCAAATAACGATATCGCGAGCAAGTAATAATCGTGTACCACATCACACACACAACACCGCGATCGAGAAACGATGATGTTCAAACTAGTTGTAATAAGGAGATGTCTTTCATTAACTTTGTTAAACGTTATTGGAGAGTACAAGCCGGGTTATTGGACGAATATTTGCGCGTATTTCTATATTCAAGTCTATATAGCTACAAAGAGAGCGAGAGAGAGAGAGAGAGAAAGATATCAGCGAGAAAACGACGGACATCCTGATTTCTCGCACAATCGAGACATGGCATCTTCGATGAGAAAAAGTCACAGATGTCTGTATGTTTTTTTATACATCGCATATTTAATTTACTTAATTACAATACAGTAATTAAATAATTTTTTAAATGCAACACACATTAGAAAGATTAAAGATTGAAGTTAATCCGACAAATTATTATGTTTTTTTTTTAGAATCAAGAGGCACGGTGGTGGCGCACGAACTGCGCGAGGCGCACTGTGCCTATTATATACGCGAAAATCACTTTTTTTTTAATTACAGAATTATACGAGTGCCCTCTCATTCGTAGTTGCGGTTAAAAATTGCATATACGTTAATTGCGGCTTTTCTCATTAGAGATAATTATGTCTCGAGGGATATTTGAAAAAAATGCGCAAGGAGAAGCAAATGAAAAGCGATGACGAGGAGACGCTTTAAAGATCGCGCGGGTCAGGAGGCGCGCTCGCGCGCATATCAAAAAACGTATGAGAAAAAACAAAGGAACAATAAGTAGGAATACGTTTAAAACGGGGAGCTATATCGCGCTGTGAAACGAAATATGTATATTTTTACTTGAGAAAAAAGGCTATGATATTTAAAAACAAAAACAAAAAAAAAAGAATGTTTGTAATGAATAATTCCCGCAACACGGAGAATGTGTCCGATGACGTTATTTTTCTAGAGTAAATATCTAAATAGAGTTATCATTGCGTTATGGCGAAACGTGTTCTCAAGCGACAAGCAGGGCCTAAACGCGACTTTTTACGACGATAGACTTAATGCGTGTAAGAGAATATACTTGGCAAAGAAGACGTATAAAAATATATGTTTGTTGTTCATTTGTTTTGTATACAATAAATATAAATGCTGTTGTGCGGTTATTAAAGTTACTCCGTAAATTATATATATATATATATATATACATGTATATGTAATTATATATATATATATATATATGAGATGATGTTTTTGACGGATCGCGAGTGTGACCTCCCCAAAAAAAAAAAAAAAAAACAATTTTCACTTTGTCACTTTGGGGTGACCCTAAAAAAACAAAAAAAAAAAATTTGTATAGAGATCGCGCGTATTGTTGCGAGTTTTTCAGTGAGTACATTCGAAGCGTTTATAAATTATAGACGTATACATATTATTTACAGTCTCAGATTATTGTTAAGATTAATCTCGCGTATTTAAAAAAAAATTAATATCCTATAGCTGTGTTCTCACACACACACACACACACGCTTAACTTTTTAATAATATAATAGTTTGCGCGCGCGAAACAAATTCGTTAGCGTAAAAAAAAAAAAAAAAGCATTATATGTGACACAGTAAATTAATTTTGAATATAATACGACATCGTATATATACATATATATACCATCAATATTAAATAATAGTTGGCTCAATAATCAAAAAAAATAAAAATAAAAATAAAAAAAATTTAATAAAAATTATAGAAAATCTAAAATAATTAAGCGAAAGACTGGCTGTCGCGGGGAAGTATTGAATAATCAACGAGAAAGTATTATAGAATGTGAAATGTGAAACCAGCGCCGAACTCGTGCGAAACTACTTACTTCGTGTATCAACAAAAATCACGAGTAAAACGTGCGATTACGCGCGCACTTAGTTCGGCGCTAGTTAAAAATAAAAAAAAAAAAGAACAAAGAAAATGAGACATTTCGAAATATAATCGAGATCAAAATTCGGAGAAACAAAGTTAAATCTTAAAGCGCGAGAACAGCGCGCAAAGAGATCTATTTTATTCCGTTGTATCTAGCGTATCTAGCGTGAACGATGAATAAATACTAATATGTTATTTTTTCCTTATCGTTTGTCATTGTTTCGTTTTGTTATTTAAATTACACACAATTGTGGCATCAAGTGAAGACACTCTCTACTCGCGTTTTGTACTAAAGCGGGAAAAAGTCAGAATAAGGAGAAACAGGAATTCAGAAAAGATTAAAAGTATGTCTGTGTTCGTGCATGTGTGTGTTCGTGTGTGCATGTTGCGTGTTATGTGATGTTAAACGTACGCGACCATGTTATATGTAACGTTATGTACTATAATATTACAACACGACATGAAAAGTGGTGGACACTGTGTACTGGCGAAATATATATGTATCGAGTTGCCCTAAATACAGCCATTTTATAATGGACACACTCGTTTGTAGTTGTATAATCTTTGGAACTTGAATCGCGAAGTGTACGAATACAGCGCACAAATCATGAAACAGTGTGGCCAAAGATAAGAAAAAGTGGTATATAAAAATAAAGAGAATGTGAAACAAAATGTAAATAAGAAAAACCATTTCTCTTGAAAAAATTAATGAACTCTGGCCTCTAATAATAAATTTTGAGTCACAACTGTTTGAAGTTGTGTCTCTTTCTCTCACATAGCGGTTTAATTAATTACACGCGAGTAAAAACGAAGTAATTTTATAAATTACTGAAAGCAAGATTCTCGTTTTTTTTAACATTTAGAATTTTTTTGCATTCGCTTTGATGCGAATTTTTTTTTACAGTCGCTTTTTTTGAAGAGAAATAAATTTAATTTGAACGCATACGACACAGAAAGTTATTAGAGGCCATTCGAGCTTATGAATGAAAAAAAAGAAAGAGTATAGATATTTTAATTTTTGTTTTAGTTTTTCAATATTTTCAAAACAAGTTTTTCTCCGCGCAAACGAAAAATGTCTGAAACTTTATTTTTTTCACACATTCACGATGAAATAATTTTCCGCCTAAAGCACATCGAAGGGCTGTAAAGGCCAAGGTTTTTTTTTTGTTGGTGTCGCTTATAAAATTATTGCCATTGTTGCATCATAATTTTATTTCACAGAATAAAATTTATGACTTAGAAATCCTTTATTAACAGACAAAACAATATGATCGATCGTACAAATAATTGTTTTCTAACACGATATTATCTTACGAGGGCACACGCTGAGACATAGTCAAATTCTTGTGATTTCGGTCATACAATAGACGAGCACACCATCCGAAACAATCACTTGAGTTAGAGTCACTTGTCCCAATACAGTCAATAATACGCACACATACACGCATTATATACTATCGTATGTTCTCGAACATATTTACGTCTTGGATACTGAACAAATATGATCGCGAACGGTAATAATGGTATGTATTGTGCTAAATTGTTTTTTTTTGTTTTTGTTTTTTTTTTTTTTTTGTTTTAAGTGTAAGAGAAGATGGAAAAGGGACAATGTAACTTAAGGTTTTTTTATATACAAAATTATCTCACCTACGTTGGAGTTATATAGAAATTAACAGCAACTATATTGTTTAACTGCTTTATAATATACAAAATCTGTTATGTAATTATTGACACCGGTAAAATAAATGAACATTTATAGTCCATTTAAGATATATATTCATAGTTCGGATTTAACTTGAGAATCGGTTTTGAATTATATTTCATACACAATTGAAGACTACAAGAGAAGAATAAACTCTTGATAAGTCCATTTTTTTTTTCTGTTTTTCGTGTTATTTTGTAATTAAAATGGAGTATGTATTTCAATTATCCAAAGCAAAAGGGAAAAATTCTTGATAGATTCCGAGGTATAAAGGATTTTCACAAAACGTGTACAGAGAAAAGACGTACGCTTTGAACTTTCGGAAATCGTTCTTCTCTAAAATTACGGAAACGTAACTTATCAAGTTCTTCTCCTGCGGTCTTCAATTATGGAATAATTGCTTCTAACCTTAATGCTCTAGTTCAACCCGATTTTCAGGTTGTGAATCACTATGAATACGGACCTAAAACTGCTTTCGACAATTCACATCCTTAGAAACATTTGTCGAAAATAAATAATTCTCGTTAAAAAGGCAGCAATTTGTTGCCAACATATAGTGTTTGCTGAGATATTCGCGTATAAAAAGAAAACCAAGAATATTTTATCAGAATAAATAATTTTGTTTTTATATATAATAATTGTAAAATATTTTATGTAAAATATAAGTTTTTATAAAATTGAATTGCTATATTCTCATTGTTACTATATACTTTATGGATGTGAAAATCATGTATAATTATTAATTTGTATAAGTATTTAATTTGAAATAAATTTTTTTTCTAAATAACATGTAAACATAAAATCCTTTTAAAAAATACGGAAAGAAGATAAATTGTGGAGAAAAAAACAACAAGTTTCCCGAAATGAACCACATTTTTACAAATTTACTAAATTGCGTATATAAATTAATTGTGAAAACCTCACTGAATATATCGATCGCTCCGATATCATCTTATTTAATCTTACAGTTCATCCTTAACTATTGTGTATCTATTCCTGCTTGGTGCCAGTTTTTTGAACTGAGATTCTGGCGGTTTTGTAGGCGTTTTTACTTCTTTTCCAGTAACTGGTACATCATCATTAGACACTTCAGGACCGTAATGAAATTCACGATGAAGCTTCCCAGAATACAAATCCTGCAGAAAGGCCTTGAGTTTGCCTTCTATGAAAATGTCATTGAAATTCTTAAATAAATACATGTGTCTAAAACTGTCTATGGCAATCAAGGGTAAATCTGACACATCTTTTCCTAAATGATGTAACGGATGCGCGAATTTTTGGCCATCAGCAGTTAAAAAATTAACATTTTCTGAAAAATAATATCAGTATAATTGAGATTTTTGCAATATATAAAATAAAACAATATTTAATAAAATAAAAAAAAGATCATACACAAATATATACAGGGTGTCCCAGAATTGGTTTAACATCTCTCGTAGACAGGTAGAAGGAATAAAACTGAGGTGAAAAGTCTTATACCATTTTGCTAGATTCGCAATAGTTACCGAGATTTTAATTAACAAAGATCCGCGAATAAGCGTGCATCGGGCTGTCTTACGCGCGTAGGACAGCCCGGCGCGCTTCACACAATTACATTTTAATATGTATATGTTATAGTATATGCTGTTATATTAGCTCCTCCCGTATGTCGCTATGGGTAACACCGTTAGCGCGCGAAGCGCACTGGGCTGTCTTACGCGCGTAGGACAGCCCGGCGCGCTTCACACAATTACATTTTAATATGTATATGTTATAGTATATGCTGTTATATTAGCTCCTCCCGTATGTCGCTATGGGTAACATCGTTAGTGCGCGAAGCGCGGCGGGCAGTCTTGCGCGCGTAAGACAGTCCGATGCATGCTTATTCGCGGATCTTTGTTAATTAAAATCTCAGTAACTATTGCAAATCTAACAAAATGGTATAGGACTTTTCACCTCAGTTTTATTCCTTCTACCTGCCTACGAGAGATGTTAAACCAATTCTGGGACACCCTGTATATATATGTATATAATAATAATGAAAATTAATGACATAACATACGTTTTTCACTAATCAATGTTCTAGTTACGATATCTTTGTACTGCTTGACACTTTCTAGATCATCAGGAGCATGGAATAGTATGAGAAACGGCAGTCCTTCTTCGGTTAATTCTTCGGCGTTCTCAAATGTTATTTCTCTGACAAGTGGCACACATTTTTCTTGCGCCCACACATTCAATTCATCATAAATGGTCAAACTTCCTTTATAAGTTTCGTCTTCGTCATTCGATAAAGCTTTATCCGATCGGAAGACAATGATAGGCTCTCCCGGAGGATGCAGTGCTTGGCTTGCGTTCCTATACATATTACCTTAATTTTTATTTTATTTTTATTAACATTTTTATAAAACATTTATTTGTCTTACAATGAATAAAAAACAAACATCGTTAACTTAAATTATTTAAAATGAGAATTTTTTCTATTTACAGAAAAAAATTTGTTCAATAAATTTAATAAAAATTGTTGAGACATCAAAGTAGATTAAGAAACGAAAATAACTTTTATTTAGTACGAGACATTTATACATAAACATTCTACATTAGAGCCTTCCAACTGATTACGTGACTGCATAGAGATTTTATGGCGCAAACCGCACGCCGTGCGCGAGTTGGAAGGCTCTGTTCTACATTAAAAATATCACACACACAAAACATCACAGATAAGAAGAAGATAAAACATGTAAATATGATTAAAAAAATGATAAATTTCAATAAAAATAAATTTTGCAAATATTCAGTACAGCAAAAGCTCATAAGCTTGTATGTACCATTTACTTACAACAAATGAAAATGTTGTCCAATTTCGCAGTTTTGATTGGAGCACGTGCTTGCCAAACGAAATTATGATTATTGATGTTATATATATTACTCTTCTAATAGCAATAAGAAATTTTGGCGTTTAGTTTTTCAAGGTAACTATTTTTTGCATTACAAACACCAATTTGCAGTATATTAACTGTTGAAAATATGAAATATCTTACCCAAAACCAACATGAAATTGGCAATCATCCTTCAAGTTTGTAGCCACCTTTCTGAACAATTCGTATTGCGGTACATCTTTTCTATCAAAATATCCTATGATCATACGTTTCTTATCATCAAGTTCACTAAGTTCTCTCAAATCAAAAAATTCTCTAATGGGATCTTCGAGCTGTTTTCTAACAAATTCTTGAAACGCTTCTACTGATCTTTGGCCTCTGTATTCTCTCTTGGATGGTTGTCCATTTCTTATTACTTTTAATGTTGGATATTTGGTTATGTGAAACCTAGATGCTACAGATGCTGAAAACATCAAATTTCTAATAACAACATCTAAACTGATACGTGTATGAATAAACAAATAAATGTATATAAAAGACAATTACATCTCTCTTACTAATACTAAAAAAAAAAAAAAAAATAAACAATATCGTTATCTAGCATAATTTAAACACATGTACTCACATTCTTTGTCACAATCCACTTTGCCCATTACTACTCTTCCTGACTGTGGAAATTCTTGTCTAACTTTATCCGCCGCCGTATCAAATATTGGACCTAACATGGCGCTGAAACGACACCATTGTGCATAGAAGTTGATAAATACCAGTTCATTTTCAGCTGCAAAAGATTCATAATTTAAGGAAAAAAATTGTAACACACAATACTTAACATACAATATTCAATAGAATTGACATGTTTGACAAATTTGTTATAATAATGTTTTACCTAATATTTTGTCAATATTATCATATGTAAGTGACACTGCGCCGTCTTCAACTCCTTCTGCTATACTGTTTGGAAAATGTGTCTAGAAACATACATGATATGTCAACAGATTAGCCGGAATTACACACGCAATGGTCGTCACGAGTGACCTTTACTCTGATTTGAAAATTTTTACTCCGATTGTTTTTCAAATTATTGAACACAAATGATGATAGAAAGTAAACAATACGGGGTAAGAGAAATACCATGAGATAAACAAACAAATTATTCGGACAATATTTATGATTCGTTGTTACGAATATACGTGAACACACAAAGCGCTTCCTTGATGCGGCACTTTTCGACACAAGTTACGTTACAAGAGTTACGTCAAGAGACGTGGACTTTTTTAAGAGCACACTGCCGCGCATAGGTTATGCCGCTTAAAAATGATAAGAAAAAAAACATTGAGAAAAGCGTCGATAACGGCAAGGCGTTCGGATGAATGACAGGTGAACATTTAGAGACGAAGCGCCGTGTGAAAGTTATACGAACGGATCCACGGGAATAAATAGACACGTGTCACACGAGGGAGAACTGTCGAATACTGACACATCTCTCGAGTCACGCACAATTTGAAAACGAAATGACGTGGCGATCGTTTTTCGCGTTACTCACCAGCAAACACGCGAATATAAGTACTTTGAAGTGAAAAATATCACAGTGGGCCAACATTTTGATATATCTCGTGGCAACTAACTCGACGACGCAACGGAATTTCGAATCACCATCAGTGAACGGATGTGTGTTCACTGCTGCTGAATAGCGGCATATCTCGGATAACTGAGTGCGTTTCGAGCGAGACAACGGGGGAGCCGAATATCTTGCGCACGCGTAATGGGATGACAACAAATGTGTATATCTCTCGGAGAAGAACCGACGACGACTTTCGAGACATCGATTATCGAAACGCTTTCGAAATTCTAATTACATGGTTCTACGTTCAATGAGATCGAAGTTCTGCGGCAAAACTTTTTTTGTAATAACGGGAGACGTACAGTAGCTCCCCGAAAAGCTATTGGCTCATTCGCTCATTTAATAATAACGCGCGCAATGGTTTATGGGGGTTGTGTGTCTTGTGATGGAGTTGGAAATTTAACATTTATCGAAGAAATTATGAACGCTCGAACGCGTATATATGTATATATATATATATATATATATATATATATATATATCGATGTGTCGCGAGATAATTTACAAAGTGCAAGATTAAAAACTTGTTTCGTATTAAAAAAAAAAAAAAAANAAAAAAAAAAAAAAAAAAACACGTTTCGAGAGAATTGTGTACTTCCTATGTAAAACGCAAAAGTGTGCTAAATACTTTTTTGAGTATAAAATTTTTGTTTTTTTCACTTGCTTCAATTACAATTAATTAATATTATTAAGAGTTCTTGAAAAATACACCGCTTCCGTGTATAACATATAACATTAATAGACATATTTTGTAATTAATATATCAGTTTGTTACAAAGATATTTTAAAAAAATGTGCGTGTGCCAATACTTTTTAAATCCACCGTACGCGCGTATGTGATCATTTTGTCTCGCGCTTCCACGGTTTCTTCGCTTTTTAATCAGTTTCGAATCAATCTATGTCAATAATTTATCGAAATCAGACGAGTTCATAAGATTTGTGCAATTGGACGTTAAAAAAAAAAGAAACATTGAAAATAAAATAACACGTTCCAAGGCCAGTATTCGTATAATCGAATCTTAATATTTAAGATCGTCTTTTTATTTTTTCAGATATTTTTTGCAGCCAATAAAACTCGTATACCATCTATTCAAAGCATGGGTGTCCAGCAGCCCGCTAATAGTTTCGGCCCCATAAAATCATAAACTTTTAACATTATTATGTGATTTTAACAATATTTTTTATGACTCGATTACGCGATGCTCGGACTGCGGACTGCGGACTGCGGACTGCGTATTGTGTACGCGGCTCGGAAAAGCCAAAAGGTTGGACACATCTGATCTAAAGATAAACTTGGGACGATCTTAAATATAAGATCTGACTGTGAATGCTGGCCCACACAGTCTTGTTACATGTCAATGTGAAGATATATATATATATATCACAATGAAATATATGCTATAGCGCAAAATTCATTTATTTTTAATATAAAATTACATCGACCAAAACAAATGTATTATTTACTGGATGGAATATCTTCTCGTCGCTATCTTTCGCGCAGTTCTTTTTTCTTGACAGATCTCTCCAATGACATCATCGCGACGAGTCTGTATACAGAGTGTCTCGTAATAGCCATCTCACCGCTTATAGGCAGGTAGAGGGGGTTATTCTAAGACGAAAAGTCCTATACCACTTTGGAAGATTTGCAATAATTAACGAAATATTAATTAATAAAGATCCGCGACGGAATGCAATAGCGCGGATAGCGTGCTGCCCGAACGCAGCCTATATGCTGTCTATGTATGCACATGTTATATTCTATTAACTCCTCCCATTCCGTCGCTACGGCGCGACAAACTGGGCTGTCCTTACGCTGGACGCACGCTGATTAGCGGATCTTTATTAATTAATATCTCGTTAATTATTGCGAATCTTCCAAAGTGGTATAGGACTTTTCGTCTTAGAATAACCCCCTCTATCTGCCTACGAGCGGTGAGACGGCAATTACGGGAACGCCCTGTATATACGCTACTGAAATCTGCCGTAGTCAGCTGACTCACGGTTCACAGTCTGTGCGCACGCGCCCAGATTCGCCCACTGTTTCTCCATTTTTTTGCTGTGTTTGTAATTAGTACGCAAAATTGTTAATCGTCGCTAGGTTGGCAGCCTTGGCGCAAGGCGTCTCGCGTCATCTTGTCGTCTGCATGAGGGTGCGAGTGACAGTTCGTCCGTGTTATTGACATTTGGATGCTGACGGAAACTTGCTGCTCACGAGAACGATCCTTTGTCGCGTACTACGGGTGACTGCGCGAGTCCGACGGCAGGCGCGCGCAATGTCGCGATGCCTTGTGCGATATTGTGAGAGCCGACCGCGGCCGAAGCGAGCGACGGTACTCGATCGAACGTCCTCGTCGATGCCGTATTCGTGTGGCCTCGGCCTGCTGCTCGGTCACTTCTCGAATCCTCTCGTCGAACACGATCCGTGATAGCGCGCCGTTTTTCTCCGCGTCTCTTCGGCATCTGTCATCCCTCCTGTGACACACGATGTGACAATCTCGCCCGCCGATTGAAACGATCGAATCGATTACCGCGCGCGTTCGACGTCTCGTCGTCATCGTCGTCCTCGCCGTCTTTTCGTTTACTACCTGTCAACGACGACGGGGAGTATACCGATGATTTTTCGCCGAGTTGCGACACGGGAAATCAGAAGTGGTCTGCGCTGGCGAATCTTCGATCTTTAGCGATTTTTTCACGACGCGTCGACCTCATTACTCGGATTTTTCCTGGTGTAACGATTACATCTGTCGATAATTGCCGAACGGAAAATTTTTCCGCAACGAGACTTGAGCGTTTTTTTTTCTCACCGATGTGTTTTCCTTGAAAAAAAAAAAAAAAACATTTGTTGACACAGTATTGTTACGAGTATTTGAATTTTTTTAATGAGAATTTCCGCAAAAAATGTTCAACAATCAATTTTTAACGACAAATCCTTGATTAATATATTGTTGTTTTTTTTTTAATAACTGATCGTTTATACATGTACATCCAAGAACGGGCACGAAGCGTGAATTTACTGGAAATACTGCGATTTTTCTCGTTGCAAGGTGAGTTTTTCTCAATGAATTATGTATGATAGCTTTTTACTTTAACAGCGGAGACAGTTCTTTTAAAACATCAAAAGTTTCCGCGGCTTTGATATGCCGCGAGAACAATCGAGTGAAAAGTGCAGTTTTTTTTTTTTTTTTTCTGTCGACACTCGATGATATTTTATCGTCACTTTACTCTTTATACGTGCATGTACCTACGTATATTTTTACATGAATCTAATCCTTCGTTTACAAACATCAAAAATGATCTACGAATTATACAGTGAGTTTTGCGAGTCCCACGCGACTTTAAAATTGAATATCTCCGCGAAAAATCAATATTTTTTCAATTTTGTTTTTTTTTTTTTTTTTTTTTAATCGAAAGTTTGATTCTGCGTCGATGAAAAAACACAACTCGAAAAAATCTCTGGTAGTTTCGAAGAGCGTTTAAAAAAAACTAATTTTCACCAGAAACATTGATGCGCAATTTATGAGTGGGTCTGGGAGACCCATGTCCGCGTATACGAGGGATTAAAAATATATATCAAAAAATATTAACGATTATTTGTATTGTTCGCTTTTAAAAGTAACTTTGTTTTTTATCAGAATTATATCAGAAACTAGAATTTTTCTGATTTATAATTCTCCGACGCTAGAGTCGAGAAATAATTTTTCTTTTGCGAACAATTGTTTTCGTTGTTTTTATTTAATTTTTTTTTTTTTGAAGGTTTGGCATAATTTTATTTTTACTCATATGCGAGACTTCAAGGAATGAACTTTATATGTTACTCGTATTAAATGACAATTCGTGAAAAAACTATTTATTAAAAAATACGAGAGACAACATCGATTATAAAATATGTTAAAAAATGTGATGAAAACGATGATTAGCTCCGGATAATTTATAATGGTGTGGTAAAGGCAGTCAGAGCATAACAACGGTGTTGATGTGTAGATGTATAAAAGTGATTTATTAAATCAAGAGTGAAAAATAAACGTTTCGACCTTCTTTTTAGGTCCTTATCAATATATTCTACAATGAAACAAATAAATAAAAAATAAAAAATTGATGTTCGCAAAAATTATTAAGAGAAAATGTTACAAATACATACGCTAAATATAAGAAAACAACTTACAGATACGCTGATGTTATTATCTTCGCACAAAGATGTACATTTAACAATATCTCGTTAACATTGTATTGTTAAATGTACATCTTTGTGCGAAGATAATAACATCAGCGTATCTGTAAGTTGTTTTCTTATATTTAGCGTATGTATTTGTAACATTTTCTCTTAATAATTTTTGCGAACATCAATTTTTTATTTTTTATTTATTTGTTTCATTGTAGAATATATTGATAAAGACCTAAAAAGAAGGTCGAAACGTTTATTTTTCACTCTTGATTTAATAAATCACTTTTATACATCTACACATCAACACCGTTGTTATGCTCTGACTGCCTTTACCACACCATTATAAAATATGTTAAATTTAACCAGGATAATGTCTGCACTAACAATCTGGGATATCGATATTACTTTACAGAAAAGTGTGCGAAGACGTTAAAAGGAAGATGTAAGGGAGATCTTATCTCGAGGGGGAGTCGAACTTTACTCTCTGCTTCGTAATTGAAAAGCGAAATACGCCATCAGAGAAAAGAGCAAAGAGTAATAGAGATTTCGGCATGATCCGTGGCGAGGATAGAGCTTATTTGGAAAATTTAGGCGGGGTAGTGGAGGCATGGAAGCCGAAGCCGGCCAACCGTCTCTTCAGAGGCTCTTTAGAAGCAACCTGCCGTCGCCGGGAGTACCCGGTCTAGACGTCATAAGAGCTCTTCATCAAGTAATGAATCATTTATCTTCTTTCCGCGCTTTACGTACATCTTTAAACGTTTCTATAGGAAAACGCATTACACTCGCACCCGAACTAACTGCGCACAATTTCGTTCCCGTGATGTAGACGGTTGTGTCGTTGCGTTCGGCCCTGGACTCGTCGCGCGAGGAACTACGTCGATTGCAAGAGAGCGTCGGAAAGTTTTCCGGCGAGAACTACGTCGACGCGGTCGGCCGTCTGGCTCTTGAAAATCACGTTCTCAGACGAAAAATCCTGAACAGAAACAACGAGTTCTCGAGCGATGTAGCGACCAGTCCGCCGTTTCAGTCGAAACACGTTCGGCTCGTAGAAACTCATATGGAGTAAGCACGATTTAATTTAGTCGCTAGAGGAGAAAAAGATCGATCTTTCTGCGTGCGAAGATCGATTGACGAATTAACACCAGACTCACTCAAGTTCTCCTCCGCAGCAGAGAATCGACGGATTCTGTGAATACCATCATGGATGTGTCTAAAAAGAAAACTGCTACCAAAGCTCAGGATGTATCTAATCAGCCTGTCTCTGAACAGAGCAGCAGTAGCAGCAGCGGCAACGAGAGTCCCGATTTGCCTTCTCGCGCCGGTCGATCTGACAAGTTGCAATTTTCATCGAAATCCTCTACGACCGCGATCACCAAGGTCACAACCAGAGGCACCGAGACAGTGTCCGCAACGTTGAGCATCTCTCAAAGTGAGAATTACAAATCCTCGACCTCGACAACGAACATGACCGGCAACGAAAGCGAGTCTCGAGTGGAAATTACGGGTACAATAAAAAAATAATGCTATAACAAAATAACAACTTATAAGTAAAAATAACGAATATAATTGTGATTGCGAAGAAGTTTTCTGACTTCTCTCAAAGTAATTTCGCGCGTGTATGTATAAAATATTTGTAGAGATAGAAGGAATCTTTTTTTTTTTTTTTTTTAAGAGAAATATACTTCATTTTTAGGCGATGTAATTAATGTGGATCATTTGGATGTCCCCGAGAAGGATCTCGAAGACTTGAGTCTAAAATCCATCTCCGACGGCGACAATTCCGTGTTCAGTGATCACGCGGATCAGTCGCAACCGCCTCGACAGGGTCAACCGGCCGACTCGACGAGGCCGAACGAACACTCGGAAAACGAATCGGAAGAGTTGGACGATATCGAATTGATATTCACAACGGATGATACCTGTCGCGATCTCGGCCTGCAGGAAGATCTTGTGTCCATCACGGAGACGGAATCCTGGCAGCAGACAGGTGCGGGTAGCGGACAACCTGTCTTACTCAAGTATACCAAGTCGGCGGAAGGCGAGTCGTTGGTTTGCAACGGCGAGAAAACCAGCTCCGTCGAGGAGGCCGTCTCCTCTCAGAGTTCCAGCATTGATCGCGAAGAGAGCGTCGACAGATTCGACGAGAGTTCCAGCACCAGGCTTAACAAAATGTGGTCGCAATGCTCTGTCCTGGTTGAGACGGACATTAGTAAATGCGGCGTGGTGGAAGACGCTGACAACTCAGTGGGATCGTCCTTACGACACGCCACGAGAAGAAATACTTTGGCTGCACCGCCAACGGCTTACAGGTTTGTAATTTCATATAGTTTCGACAAATAGCCTTCAAGCGACCGAGAGATTCTCCAATATTCTGTCATATTATATACTCTCATCGTCTCATTATTTCAGACCCATTATTCATCGGGAAGCTCTAGCTAGTAGCCGGAGAAAAAGTTCTACTCCTTTGCGGCCAGTAATGGACCGTTGCAGCGGCGCCCGAAGAGAATCCGGCGCCCAGACGGATATTTCCGCGCTTCCGGCACAATGGCGATCCGAAAGCTATCTGGCACACAAAGTCGCGCATACTTTTACGACGCTGCCCAGCAAGTTTGCATTACCAACGGGGGTGCCTGGTCGACTGAGACTGTCGGACAAAACCCGGGAAGCAAGAAGAGTGATGTTATCGGACATTAGTTTCACCAGCATGGTGCCAGAGTTGTCGAGAAGCGCAGATCACCTGTGCCATGATCCACACGCGCAGGTGAAGTTAAAACATAAAGATTATATTAATCGTGAGAAAAAAAGGAATAGAAAAAAGTATCTATTCTTTTTCTCTAATTAATACGATAGATAAATCCTTCTTTTTTAAACATTAATTGTTCTAAAGTTCTATAATTTTTTTTTTTTTTTTAGACATGTTTCAGTTTGCGTGGCTGTGGCCTTCGTACACCGGAAGTTCATAGACGTGAATCTCTGGGTTCTTCCGCGGGATATTGGCCTCGTTGCAATCCTGCAACGGGTCTGCCGAGTCCCTGCGACTGTCGACTGTCGACCGATCTCTATCCCTCACGATATCGCGGTTCTCTGACGTCGATACCGTCGCCCGGTCTCGAAGTGGTTGGCGGTCCTCCACGGAGACACTCCTGGAGAGCAACGGCGGCGTCCTTCGACACATGCACATGGCGAGCTCCAGTCGCGACTTCCACACCACGCCCGACGTGGTCGATGCCGTCCTCTCCGACGCATGTGCATCCTCCGTCGACCTCCGCTAAAACTTCGAAAAGCGCACCAAAGAGAACGCGATCCAAGGTTACCTTCCAAGGTACGATGGCGTAAACAAAATAATATATAAGTTCGGAAATCAACCGAGAGTTCGTAATTTCCAGACTGTCTAATGACGCGGGGTAGCCTGCCCAACTTGCGCTCGGATTCGATCGGCGGTGAAAACAGCGGAGACTCCACCGAATCGTTGATCGACGAAGCCGAGGATTATCTGCGGCGTAGTATAGACTCCATGCTGACGATATCGAGCGCCAACACGGACTATTGGTGTAAACACACAGCAAGACGAAGAAGAATACGACGGCATTCTGAGCCCGATCTGATTCGCGATTGGCACCCTCCCCAGGATGCTAGGCCATATTTGCCAAAGGTAAGCGTTGCGCGCGCGCGCGCGCGTTCTCGTTTTATTCGCTATAATTAACTCTTACATTTGAATCCAAAGGCTCTTTGCCCTTCAATTATTTTAAAACTTATAAATTTTCGTGCGTACACCCTTCAGATACCAAGAGATCTCAAGCTGGATCACCTCGTAAAGGTCATATCGCCGGAAGGTAGGGTCCTTCAAGGTCGCGTGAGATACGTAGGTCCCGTTCCGGGTCGAGAAGATGTGCATGTAGGTGTAGAATTGCCATACGCTAATGGTTCGTCCGACGGTACTTTCCACGGCAGAAGATACTTCGATTGGTGAGTTTCCAAGACTACTTTCACGAATATCGAATGTTTCCGAGTCTTAAGATTTTCAGTTTTAATCGGGAAATAATATTTCTCGTTTTTAACAGCGAGTCGGATCGAGCAATTTTTGTACCGTTCAAAAAAGTGGTGCTTGCTTGGTGCACTACTTGACCCGAGGCCCCGACCCTCGTGGTCACTCCTCGCATTCTACTCTCTCAAGATACCATGTAAGGAAAATTTGGCGACGACACATGTAAGTCGTATTTAAGAATTTATCAATTTTGAAGATCCGCCAATCTCTCTGAATAGATTCGAATGAGTGGAATAATTTGTTTCTAATCTTTGGCAAGTAATTTTCTCGTTTCCCGAATAGAAGAAGTGTAAGTGTCCAACTAAGTGTTATAATTATCGAAATTTAAAAAAAAGAAAAAACAAAGTGTGTAAAAAACGAGAACACAAACAACGCCCACACACACTCTGGCGCGACTTAACTTCACTCAATAAATTCTATACATATATATATATACATACACGCAACACGTATACTATCCACTCTGTTTAATGTATGTTCGCAGGATGGATTATCACCACACAGCCGCACAGATAGTAGTGTAATAAAAATTCTGCTATATCGGTGTCCTTTACTGATGATTTTAATTTTTTAAGAAAATTTCTTATATGGATATAGAACAAGTTGGTGAGGTTTCATGGTAAATCTTTCTAATCTACAGCGATTACAAGAAAAAAAAAGCAAAACACATGCTTAGAGATAAAAATTGTACAAGTTTTCGTCAAATTTTAAATATTACATACATTGAGATATTGATAGAACATGTTGTAATCGTTTAAAAGTTTCAGAACAAGTTTTAAGAGAGACGTGAAAAACCATGAAATATCACAAACTTCTGTTACTACATTAATGTGATTATATATACATGATGTACATATGCATACATATACACACACGTGCGCGCGCGCGCACAAACACACACACACACAAACACACACACCGCAAACTCTCATAATGTTCAACGTGATGCCATATGCCAAAAAGATAAAAACTTGTCAAAAAACTTCATAAAACTTAAATATATTATTGTGTTACTGACGCTCTAAATATAAGAGATCACATTTTGTTCCATGCTTAAAAAATGTGTAATTTGAGAGAAAGGTGAGGGAATCAAAATCACAAATTTTATATAACTGAAGATTTTAAATATTTAGATGTAGGAGTCAGCCAGTAATTCAGTTTTAGAAACAATAGTGCAAATTATCGATAGTTTCTGTCAATAATTCAGAGGCTACGTGTGCAGCAAACGCTGATATTTTGTTTTACAGCATGACGTGCGCATTGTGATTTGTAATTTATGCGCGTAATTTCGCGATCGAACGTTTGTTCACCGCGATGTCACAACGTCAGGCTGTTGTTGCAAAGTTTGTGTGTATTTTTTTGTTTTGTTTAAAGAGAAGAAACGTATACCTGTTATTTTGTCTATTACGATAAATAAATTATTGTCAATACTCACATCGAACAAAGTTTTACGTCACCCCTGATTTCTCTAACAAACAAAAGAAAATAATTTTTCTGATCGCAAATACTCAATCAACAGATAAATGTTAATATTGACGGTGATTAACGTGCAGATTAATTAGCACACAAGATATGTGACGAGATTATGATACAGAACTCGTTTTCGATGTGCGTATTTTTTTTTTCTTTTTTTTGACTGAAATTGAAGAGAATAAGAAAGAAAAAAAATGATCCGAATGATATAAATATGTGCTATAGTGATAAATACAAGATCAAGAATTTGTTTCGACGTAATAATCTCCGCGCGTTTTGCTTACGAGCTTTCGATGAGCAAATGTTTTAGTATACGTGTACGTATATGTATTTAACGTATATCTATCTGTAAATTTAAAAACAAAAGACATGCCTATACATATATATATATATATATATATGTATATAAATATATATATATATAAAATATATATATGTATAAAGTGTGGGCACTACACTTAACTGTATAAAGAAATGAATGTAATCATATCTTTGAGGCTGTACCTACATATAATATCGTCTCTTATCGATGGATTCGATGTCTGATGGTTTTGTCTGAGCAGCAATGAGGATCGACCGACGTGTTCCGCTGTATTTTTAGATCCGTGGAGAAATACCTAGCTGTGGATATTAACAAAAAGTCGAGACAAGATGTTGTCAATCCCTCTCACACTATTTATTGTATCGTAACAAAATACCAGAAAATAAAACTCTGAATTACAATGTAAGGCACATTATCGTCTCGGAAAAACCTTTGCGTGTATCTTATAAGAGAATTGTTCGATTATTAAAACATCCTTTCTGCGTTTAGGCGGAAAACAGCCCCTCTTCCTGTTTAATTTTGTTCTTCCATGCGGTAAAGTCGAAGGTTTTACAAACGATGCGCCGGGTAATCGGCATACCAGCTGAAGGCCCCATTAGATCCGGTGTGTCCTCCGAAGTCAACGTAGTCCAGAACGCGCGTTGTCGCTCGCTCAGAACGTTGTCCCTCGGACTCGTCCTGAACGACACTGGGCTGAACGACAGCCGGAAGATACGCTTCTGTTTGTCGTGCCACCCTTGAGAGAGAAGATACAATTGGATTCACCTCGATGACGTCGATGCCGTCGATACCGTCAACGGAGATCGCAATGTAACGTCTGCCTCCTAGCACACCGTATATGACGCACAGCAATGTCAATGCGATACTCTAAAAGATAAAAAAAAATGCTTTTATTGTTTTATCACATTTAATAAAAAAAAACTAATTTCTCTTTTAGATTTTTTTTTACGTACAAAGATAATATATATATGTATATATACACGTATGTAAATCGAAAATTAGAAAATTCTAATATGAATATTATTTTGCTAAAGTTGTTATTTACCAGATGATTCATTGTTCTCTCTTGTGATGAAAATTGAAATTGATGAAAGCAAACGTGGCAGTTCGGTTCGCCAAACTAAAGAGAGGAACTCCGTTACCGCAGTTTTATACGTTTTGCTTCACCACAGCTTTCTAGTCTTACTAGAAGGAACCGACAATTACTTCTGGTTACTTCTTGCACCATGCTTTATCTCGACAAGTCAATTGTCGCTGAGATGGCATGATCGCGAGTCGCTGAAGCGTGCGGCAAAGTTCTAGAAAAAAAATCGTTATATCCTTCTTCCTTGAGTCACGCCTCGACACTTTCGATCTTCTTTCAATCAAACTTTCGACTATTCTTTCTTTCTCCGCTGTGTTTTTCTTTGCGGTTTGTCTGATTTGCTTGTCGTCGAATCACGCAGGTTGCATCGGTCAATTTAATCCTTTCGGTGCAAAACAACAAATATATTCGCCGTCAGAAAATGGCTCTCTAAGCGCGAACGGCGTTTCATATACGTTCGGCATGAAAATCATGATCCGTCAATTGCGGACGTTGCACATAGCGATTACAAAAAAGTTTTTTTGTGTTTAAAGCGTGTCGCGCCGAAAGGATTAGTATAAAATACAAATTTATTTTAGAGCTACCGTAAACACCTGTATGCCCGACTTAACCGGTCATTTCTCGCTGGCAGTCTTACGAGTATACTCGCGTTGTAAAATCGTATCATTGGTAGAAACGAATACTCCGATACACCTTGAGTTTTTTCCGAGACCAAATTTGTTTCACTTATTTTTCTTAGAATCTCCTTACACTTTCTATTATTTAAATTATGCCTATATATTCTTCTCACAATATTGTGCGTCTTTATAACATGGTCACAGATTTTTAGTTATTGCCAGAAATAACACAAAGAACAGCCAAAATATATAATAAAAGTTAACAGTGAAAAAAAAAGAAAAAAAAAACAAAATCACCAGAGCTAAAAGTACAATAATAAAAAAACCATATAAATCATTATAATACATATGAACTTTAATGCTTTATAATTTTAATATATACAATAAAGTACACTACAAAAAGAAAATTACAAATGATAAAAGATTAGCAAAAATCTCTACAAAAATATAGTAAAATGTATTTTATGTATTGAACAAATATTGTTATATTATCTTTCTAACAGTTATGACAAAGATTATCTATATACAGATGACTTTAATAACTTAAAAACTTATCTGTAATTGTATAAAATAAATCAAACTCTGCAATAATCACAAACATTCAATATATTAAAGCCTTAAAATGAAAAAAACTTATTATGAGCACATAAAGTTCTTTATATTAACTGATATAAATTATTATATAATCATTAATATATATATGTATATATATACACATATATACATACATATATATATATATGTATATAATGCAGATATATATATAATACATATATATATATACATATATACACATATATATAACAAAATTAATTCGCGAAACAAATTGCAATTCTTGCTGGAAAAAAAAGCTATTACACGTAATTTGTATAACTGTTACTGCAAGTAAATATATCTGATGCATTTCACAAATTCAATTTTATAATTAATTAATAATTTTAATTATTAATTCCTTTAAAGGAACTAATAACCTGTTAAAATAAAAATCTGTATTTACTCGAAATAAGGCTTTTTTCTATTTTTAGTTATTAAAGTTATAATAAAGAAAAAAAACAATTTCAGATCTTCAGTTGCGTTTTATGGTCAAGACAAATTAGAATTCGGTCTCTATATTATTTCTTTAAGCTTAAATTTTTTTAAACAAAAACAACATTGCTTATAACTGAATCAATATAAAATATTGCCTATAAATATATAAATTGACAACAAAAAAAGTTGTGTATGCAGCTAAAAATACACATACACAAAAAAAATAAAAATTTATAATAACTTAACCCTTAATCTGCACACTTCATAGGAATCACATAGCCTGCACATGGGATATGGTCTACCCCAGCCACAAAAATGATCATCAAATTCACTGAAATTATTATAACTTGAAAAAATTTATATACACTATTTGAAACATCTATAAAAAGACGTCATAGTTTTTTTAATGATTTTTCAATTTTAAGTTAGTGAAAAAAATTTCCCCAAAAAAACGATTTACGTAGCTATATCTTCGTGCAAAAATGCCTGGAGTAGATTCCATCCCACAGTGCAGATTAAGGATTAATATCATACAGAAATTATAAGTGTGTATGTGTATGTACATGCTGATTTAAATCATATCTACCTGTTCCGCTAAATCACTCGGATTTAGAAACAAACTTGTTAGAAGTCCAAGTACGAATTTTTAAAGTTTCTGATAAAGCTAAACGTCATTCTTTGATTCATTTTCTTGTTCCTTGCATTCTTCAATTAATGATTTTGAAAAGAAATCGTTACATGGTAAAACTGTCTTAGCAAGTTGCAGACCAACCAGAACCTGAGCTACGTCAGTAAAATTCTGCAAAAACATAATATATGTAAGTTTTCCTGTGTATATTTATTTGTTCTACTTTACATTCAATGGTTGCTTGTGTATTTTGTTTGCGGTAAAGTTTGGCAAGATTTTTCCCACAACGCTCGGATGCCACGTAATTATTTGTGACGCGAAAACTCAAACACTACAAGCAGTTTATGAGTTATTCCGAAATGTTATGCCAAGTAACAAGATGCTTAGACTGTACACAAAATAAGGATATAAATATAGCTTTGATAATTTCAGTTTATTACTGTTTAAACTATATGATTTTGTGGCTAATTTTAAATAATTTCAATGAATAAAAAAAAGTTAAATAAAAGTTTTTTAATATAAAATATCGATAATAAAAACTAAAAACGTCGATACAAAAATGACACTAACGCGGTTCAAATCCGAAAAACATCTTCGAATGTTAATACAACACACCGCGAAATATCAGATAATAATAAATTATCCATTATCTGAGATAAATATCAGATAATAGAAACTCTTTTTATGAAGAAAAACTTATTCATTTTTCTTACTTCGGTATAAAGAGCGAGCTCAAGAACCCATTTGTTTTTACGATAAAATGTGTTCGGCCGTTTTATGTAGTCTAAACGTTTAGCGGTGAGAACTTTCTTTTCCCCTGGTTGAACCAAAGCAGAAAACGCTTCTATGGTATCCGAAGACCATTCAAGTTTTCTGGAAAAAAAAAAAAAAAAAAAAAAAAAAAAAAAAAAAATGACGAGCAGATTATAATGACTATGATTATCCATGAATCAATTGATTTTGTCAAGTTAATTTATAAGTTTATAATCAACTTACTCCAACGGATATACGTATCCCAGTTTACACTCTATTGCTTGAACTCGCAGGCTCAACATGTCCGTGCAGAGTTCCAATATGTTATCAATAGAAAAGTTCTTCACAATTTTTCCATAATCCAAAAGATAAACTGTGCACAGAGGCAAGTTAACATCTATTATTTCTGCACGATACCATTTGTCCTCATATTTGGCTGCTACAAGTTTGTTTACTTCTATCTAAAAAAAAATCAAGAAGTAATTATTAATTTCTCTTACGATCTTTTAGATATCTCGCTAAAGTAGCAAAATAACGTGACATTTAACTTAAAGCAATGTTAGATTGTATGATTATGTGCAATTGTGCTTGTAATAATTTTTTATAGGATATACATTTAAGAACTATGTTAGGTTATTATTCTAAATAATTTCTAGGACTTTTTTAATTTACCTTAGATAACAAATGAGATTCGCGAATGTTTTTATTATCATAATATTTTGTCATTTCACTCTCTAATTTCTCAAACTCGTTGAGTTTAGGTCCTACCACTTGAATCCAAAACTGATCTGGTGACTCAATCGCAGATACGTACACTTCAAGAGAAGAATCTGTTAAAATTAAACTTTAGTTGTAATAATGGCAAGTCAAACTAATAAAACAATATAAATCTATAGTAATTTATTTATTTGCATACTTGACATTGAAGTGTCGAGATTGTCGTAATTAGTTTTGTTACTATCCTCTTTTTTTAGATATATTTTCTCTATCTCAGATGTAGCTTTTTCTATTTCTTCAGTAGTACCCTTTATTAATAGCTTCTGTTCTTTTATATCACCTAACATATGGAGTAGATTATAATACAGGGAATTTGTTAGGAAAACAAGACACAAATTATAAAATAAAATCATACCTTTACGTAAATTGCTTATAAAACTAAGTTTTGCACCTGAAACTCTTTGTAAGTATTCTGCTTCACGTGATATTTGAGCATGCTGACTATTTGATAGAAATATCATCTTACAAGTCTTGATTTTTTTATGATTCTCTACTTTCTCATTAATTAAACATTTTGCCAACATAATATATTCCATTTCATCACCTTGTACGGTGATAGTAACATGTTGAGACTCCAAATCTTTGTTTTTCTCTATTTTAATATATGTATTAGTTTTTGTTTGTATTTCCTTAATCACAGAACCACTTCTACCAATTATAGCAGACACACACTGCTTAGGCACTATTACTCCACATCTTATAGGTTTTTTGCTTTTTTCAGATTTCTTTGACCAACACTTCTTTTCTTCATTATTATTTTTATTCTGCAATAATAATAAACTTGTGTGTATTGTATTTAGATACCATAAATAAATTTCCTATTATAATTTTTATAAAGAGAGACATTAACTTAGAAACAAAATTAAATAACTTGTATATTTAAAAAAGCACTAATTTTACCTTTCTTAATAAAGGATACAGCAAAACTGCTATGGATAGACCAAAAGTTGTCAAAGATATACCAAATAAAATTGGCAACAATTTTCCATTCAACTTCATTTTCTTCTTGTTACAAAGATCACACTAGATAATAACAAAAGTGTTCCATGTAATTATTACAATACAGATCTTTAATCATTACAATAATTGTAATTATTACAATACAATAGATCTTTAATCATTTAATACTTAAGTGTTTTCTATAATAAATAGAACCTGTAAAATTTTATGAGTAACTTTTACTAATAAATTATATTCAACTCTAATTGTAACATATATGTATACATGTATAAAACTAAAATAATGTACTTATTTTTTATCAGTATTAGAAGATTGCAGAATTTTACAATAGAAGATATACTTCAACCTTTTTTCTTAGAAAATCATTAAAAAAAAAAAACAAAGAAAAGTATACTGCACTTAAAATTTTTTTAACCGTCTGCTTTCTCTTCTTTTTTTTACAACTTGCTAGAATTTGTTCTATTAGTATTGTCCAGATAATGTACACACGTATCAGACATCAATAATGTATATTATAAAAATACGTTAAATAGGAAAAAAAAAAAAAAAAAATAAACTCAAGTTCAATACATACTCTAATAATATTATACACTTTGTATTTTCAGTGTAAATTTTGACATTTACATAACCTCGTAAAGCCACGCAAAAGAACTTAACACATTTTATGACGAAAGAACGATCGTAAACGTATGTAAAACGTACATGTGTTACAAAAGTGGTGATTACATCACGCTGCTTTACACGTGATTACACGTTTATGCACAATATTTACGTAAAGTCTCCCTTCTTAGAAAACCAAAAGCCGCTTCGGACTCAATATATATATAAACTTACGCCACAACCAAACCGGATTAAACTCCACTCGAGTGTTAACAAGTATTTAGCCGACGTCTAACATAAACAAACTCAGGTTTTCGAAGATTAAACAAATCACATCGTCGACTCTTTTTTGTCCGAATGACCCAAGTGTGTAGCGAAGAATCGACCAATCGTTGCGATCTACATGCGATCACGTGACACATACCTACATATTGGAACGTGGGCGCTAAACTTTTATAAACTTGTTCATATCAATAGACATATCTATGTGTGTATTTAAATTTCATTATTTTTGCGTCAAATTCGTCATAATAAAAAAAAAAAAAAAACCGCTTTTATAGCATCATTCTATACATATGTAATAAAATTTCCATATGCAATCGATAAAAAATAAATTATTCATATTATTCTTCCATTTTTCTTTTATAATCACACTAAAATTTATTTTTAATTACCGCACAAAATTTTAAACGCTAATATATTGTCCTTCTCTCTTGATATATGGTCTTTATTTATATATTTATTTATTAATATCTCTTTTTAATTTAAAAAAAGTGAAAGATCAGTTTTTTTGCTTTCGTACGCTGCGATTTCTAGGTATGGTTATTGTGAAGGACACTCAATATACATATAACGAATTCGACTTTCACTTATGTACGTGAAGTTAAATTGTGTAAACTTGTTTTTATATTATATTCGACGCGTCAACGTCTCATATGTTATCTTCGAACCGGTTTTTCGCTGACGCAACATATCACGTATATTTTTGTACAACGTGTTGCGATAACTGATACAGTTATCAACTACTTAGCGGTTGTGCAAATCTGATAGTGAAGTGTGAAAATTTACTGGACTGTTACTTATTAGATCGCCGTCAGTTCACTGACTAGAGACGTTTTTGGTATAAGCAGCATGATGGCTTTACCGATTTTACCGCGAGTTCTGGTGACTAGCAATGAAATGCCGACACCTGGCATCGATTTGCTTCGAACAAAGTAAGTCTAAAAAAAAAAAAAGACTATTGGAAAAACGTAGAATATTGAAAAATCACAGATTTCTATAGAAATCTGTGTGAAAAATTCACGTAACATATATATTTTATTGTTTTATTGCTGTTGTAATAGATGTGACGTTACTATTCTTCCAAATGTTATAAGCACCGAAGAACAAGTATTGAAAGCTCTTCCTGGACACGATGCTTTGCTTATGGCCAATCATGTTAATGTCAATAGCGAGTTTCTCGATCTTGCTGGTAAATCATTTATTGATTTTTAATAAAAGTTTTTTTTTAAATGTAATTTGTTAAATATTTTATAGACAAAAACTGTTTTTGTGTCTATTAAAAAATATATGTATGCATATATATCCTTTTATATACAAGTGTATATATGTATATATATATCTTTTTACGTACAAGAATGTAAATATTATTTTAAAAAATGTGAGATTTGTATTTGTGTATTTTTTTTAGGTTCCAACTTGAAAGTTATATCGACAATGTCGGCCGGATACGATCACCTGGATGTTCCGGAAATTAAAAGGAGAGGAATCAAGGTCGGACATACGCCGAAGGTATTGTCCGCTGCAGTTGCCGAAATTGCCGTGCTTTTATTGTTATCTGCAACAAGACGTAGCCATGAAAGTCGCACTAAGCTGGAACAGTAATTACATAATTTTATCTTTTAAATTATATAAATATATTTTGAGACAGCTCTGGATTTAAATGAATTGCAATGAATATTCAGCGTCAATTAGCATGTCTGTACACAATCTCCTTAAAACCCCGATTTTGCATTATTTTTAATTTATCATATTTTCTCATCAGTAAGTTCTGAATATTATTTCTTTCTCTCGTTTCATGTTTTTAAAAAAATTTTGTTTTATTAAATATCGAGACTAACACTTTATAAGATATTTATATAAATATAAATTTGAATCAAGAGGTAAGATAGGATTGGGACCGCAGTGGATGTTGGGACGAGACATACGAAATTCTACAGTTGGCATTTTCGGTTTGGGAAATATCGGTCAAGAGATTGTGAAGCGATTAAAAGGATTCGAAGTGGGGCGCTTTATCTATACTGGACATTCGCGTAAAAAAGCAGGTACGCTTTTTTTTGCGGAAACCGAAAAATTAATTTTTATTTTATTACACAACATGATACTCATTGTTCCCCGAACTCATTAAATACATCCTAAAATGACGCAGGTGATGAGCTTGGAGCGAAATTTGTCTCTTTAGACGAACTCTTGGAGCAAAGCGATTTCCTTATCATTGCTGCTCCTCTGAACAACGAAACCAGAGGGCTTTTTAATGATAGTGCATTTGACAAAATGAAAACAACGGCCGTCCTTGTCAACATAGCTCGCGGTCAAATTGTCAATACCGAGTCACTTGTGAAAGCTCTTCGCAATAAAAAGATATTTGCTGCTGGTTTGGACGTCACAGACCCAGAACCGCTGCCACCAGATCACGAACTTCTAAAATTACCCAATGTCGGTCAGTATCTTTGTATTACTTTTCTTTAAATTTTATAAAAAGAAAAAGGAATACTCTCACTATCTTCAAACACATATTTGAAAATTCTAGAAAATTTAGAAAGTAAAGTTCTAAATATTTAAAAAATTGAGATCAAGAAATAAACATAATAAATGTAGATGCATAATATTAAAATGCAAACAAATATTTTTTAAATTAAATTAATGTTAATTCAAAATTTATTCACGTTTATATTTTATCACAAATTACACACATCATAGTACATACCTACATATCATCAAAGTTTTCTTTTAAATTGCAGAAATAATGCCTCATTTGGGTAGTGCAACAATAAAGACTCGCAACGACATGTCGATAATAGCAGCACAGAATGTTCTTAATGGTCTTGAAGGCAAGCCTTTGGTTTATCCATTGTAAAACATTTTTCTCTGTTTTTTTCTTTCTGACTTGTGTGTGCATTTAACGCAGAATTATTCTCTTATATATATGTATATTATACATTTGAAAATAATTATTAAGGACAAATATCTATATATCAATATGTAATTTAAAAGGTTATTTTTCTTATTTCATATTCTTTTTCAAAAGTACCACAATTAGTGAATTTTAATTTCTAATTTCATTATTTATATTTTATATCACATCATATAGGAAGATATATACCTATATATATATATATATGCACTTACTAATATATACTTTTGCTAATAGAAAGAGAGAAAATGGATTATCTAAATATTCTCTGAAACTCTCTCTTTCATTGCAAAATTTAATTTAATTTATTTTATTATATTAAGAAGGGCGGACACATAGGTATATCTACAATTATTATATTTTATAAATATGGAGGAACACATTTTTTGTAAGAATGATATAAGTTCAGAGATGTATCAAAGTACTTCAATATGTTTTTAAAGTTTCAGACATAGAAAAAATTTGTAATTTTGAATTGTTTTCAAAATTTATTTTCTAATTTTGAGAAAATTCTCTCTTTCTAAACCAGTATTTCATATATGTATTTAATAAATAAGAAAATTTACAGCAAATATCTTGTGGATTTTATAAAAGTTATTGTGTATAAATGTTTCCAAACAAATAAACACTTCAACTTAAAATATCATCTTTAGCTCTTAAGAATATTCCTCTATAATATATTTTTGTTTTAAAACATATATCCTAGTAAAACCTGTTGAAAACAGACGCTTGTCAAAAAGACAGTAATTTGCTGCCAAACTGCCAACATAATGTTTGCTTGAATAATTAACAAATTACTTTTTATACCACACTTCCAATATTATAGAAAAAGTGCAGATAAGTAAAAATATGAAAAAACATACTATTCTAAAACAAGTAGTAATTGTCTGACAACACTGTCACTGTTCACACTATTGCAACAGTTCACAGATTAATATCCAGATATAACATTCAACATTTATCACCCATAATGGACAATAGGTAACCATCAGGCTTCCACCACTGCATTTTTTAAACTACTTAGAATAGGATCAATCTTATTTTCCAATGATAATACATGGCCGATGTTACAATTGTGACTAGTGATAAAACTGATAACCAGTGGCAATTTATTCATCTGGATCACCTGAATTCCAAATCGAGCAATTTCACATAAAAATCACATAATACAAAAAAGTGATTTTTATTATATAGTTTTTACCTGATAATTGCTATACATGCATATAATTGTTTTGTTTTTGCCAAGACCCAGTTTACTTCCTTGATCTGTAGCCATTCCAAAAGTAGATAAGAAACTGGCTCTCATAGCTAGTTCCGGCGCCTTCTCATCGGCTACAGATACAACGGGTACTCCATCTCTGTCCGTAATTAATATGCTATGCAGACCCTCTATATCGCTTAACAATCCATATAGAAACTTTTTTAATTCCTATAAAAAAAATACAAAAAATACAAAAAAACACTTTCAAGTGTGTATATGTCATCTAAACAAAAGACATAACCTCAAACGCTTGAGATACTCTATTAATACGAGAAATATAAATTTTAAATTATAAATATGTTCGACTTACAACTGTCATTTTGTTCCGAGAAAAAATGTGCGCACAGCTCGTAAATCGGCAGTTAATCAATAAAATTAATGTTTTTAAGCACGTACACGACCGTCTCTCGTTATCACCTGATTTTTATGTGATAACCAAATATCGCGTTATGTTGTGTATGCGTTTTGTGAGTCTTGTGACCAATCCGATCCGACTCAGTCAGGCGTGATGATTACGATATGCGATGGTGATCATCCAGAGTGATCGTGTAAGAGAATAAAAATACGCAACCGCCAATTTCTTGACAGAAATAACAGATTTACAACAAATTCGATGAATTATAGCGTAGGTATATCAATTCCTGTTGGTAAAAAAAAAAAAAAATATTACATATAATAAATAAAGTTATTGGAAGTATTGTGCTTTAATGAGAAAACAATTTTTAAAATTTCAGAAGGCAAATATTTGTTTTAGTGAAGAGTTGGGAGCAAAAAATAAAAAAATCTTTCGTTCGACTGTACACGCCAATAATTGCAAGCATTAAGGTACGTTTACGTACGTTTAAAGAACTGTTTCTTACGTGGATCCACACAAGTTACTCTACACATACAATCAACTTATAGTGTAATTAAGCTTTGAGGCAGAAAAGAAAGAGAGATATAGAAATTGTGAAAAAAAAATTGAACAAATGTGTTGCAAAGAATAAGCCCAACGTGTATAATACTATACTCGTATTGCACTGAGTGTGTTTACGAGTAATATAAACCAGATATTATACCAGATCAGTGTCAGGTTATGTTTTATTATTACGTCATACTCTTCCTCTCACTCTCAGTGTCACGGTGCACAATATCAGTGTCACGCGTATATATATCAATGTATACAAATTAAATAAATTACGAAATTACACGTGTGTAATGATAACGTGGAAGCAGTGGAGCCCATATCACTCGACGAGCCAGTCTCGACTGGAACTGCTTTAACTGTGGAAAGATACACGGAATAACGACGCAAAAAAAAAAAAGGTAAGTATCTAAACACATCCTTAACCTTAATCCTGGACCTTGTTTTTTTTTTTGGCATCTTGAGAGTGAAGCTGTGGGCATTTTATTTGATTCTAAAGTATTAAAGAATTTTGCAAAAATTCTGAAATTTTTCGAGTATCTACAAATATATGTTGTTTATTTCAAACATGCTACATATAGCAACAAATATATATATACTGTCAAAACTGATGTTTAAAAAAATCTTTAATGCACATCACGTTAATATAATATCTTATTGACACGCAATTTTAGGAAAAGAAGGAATAAAACAATATCAGTTGACTGAACAACAAGATGGAACAGCTATATCGAATAAGAATTCTACTAAGCTTGTGTTTAGTAAATGTTCTACTGATAGAATGGAGCAACGCAGCTGCAGTATCTAATAAAAATCTAGTTCTAACAGGCGGTCAGGGCTTATACAATGCCAGTGATGATGTAGTAATTCTCAATGTCACAAATTTCAAGACAACTGTTTATGGAAGCAGCAGAAGTTGGCTAGTTGAATTTTATAACAGCTGGTGCGGTTTTTGTTTTAGATTTGCACCTACTTGGAAAGCTTTTGCAAGCGATATTGTCTGTAAGTTCTCTACAATAAAATTTATGAAAAAGACTATCTTTTATAAACGCTATAAATGCTTGAATGACAGCAAAAAAAAAAAAAAAAAAAATTTACTGACATAATTAATAAATGATTACACTAATATTTCAGCATGGAATGATATTGTTGCGATTGCCGCAATAGATTGCGCAGATGATGAAAACAATCCTCTCTGCCGAGAGTATGAAGTTATGCATTATCCAATGTTGAAGTACTTTTCTGTAAATGCACATCCCTCGTCCTTGGGTTTAATAATAGAAAAGGGGGACAGTATCGACTCAATAAGGCGTAATTTAGTTAGCAGGCTTGAAGTGGAACAGCAGGAAGGACGAGGATCTACGTGGCCTAATATTGCGCCATATAGGTACGTTAAATTTCCCATTGACAATTCTTGAACAGATTTTTTCCTTCTGACATCGAATAAAATTCTATTTATATTCCATATATATATATATGTATATAAAACATGTGTTATATTTTTATTTCTTATATAAAATCAATAAATATTGCCGCTCTAGGAACGTTGAAACAACAGATATATGGAAAACAGCATCCAGTAACGTGAAGTATTTTTTCTTGGTTTTCGAAAATTTGGACTCGCATCTGGGCACAGAAGTCATTCTTGATCTGCACAGAATCAGCGATTTGCAAATACGCAGAGTGACTTCTGACAATGAGTTGCTGTGTGTAACGAACAAGATTACGAAATTCCCATCTGTGATAGTCTTCGAACGTAACGAAACACAGAAGGTACTCAACGTGAGAATTCCAACGAGAGAAGGAGTGCGGCGAGTTATTAAGGATTACGCGATCGCAAAAGGTGTTAACATTGACGAGACAACGGTGTCCCACGATACCGTGCAGAATACCGAGAGCGTGCATCAGACAACGATCACGACGATTGCAAGGACTCGTGTAGAAGAGGAATCGTCGAAAAAGACCGACGATTATTTGTATCAGCTCGATCTAGAAAGCGCGCTGCACTATTCGATTAATCACGAAATATCTTTAACAAAAGTAATAGAATCCGACAAGATGGAAGCGTTACGGAAGTATCTCGCAGTGTTAGCAGCATATTTTCCTCTGCGACATAATAACGCGTATCTAGAGATGATTTTTAGCGATGTGAGAAGCAGAACTACCATAACCGGCGAAGAGTTCAGCCAGTTGGTTAGAACGACGGAAGAGGGAATGTCGCCGGTATACTCGGGATCGCCTCATCGGTGGATAGGCTGCAAAGGTAGCAAGAATTCGTATCGAGGATATCCTTGCGGGTTGTGGACCATGTTTCACATGTTGACCGTGAATTTCGCACTGGAACGAAGCAAAGACACATTTCTAGGTGATTTCGCGAATGATCCCGCGGCAGTGTTGCGCGCGATGCACGGCTACATCGGGACTTACTTCGGATGCGCCGACTGCGCCGCACATTTCGTGGAAATGGCTAGCAGAAACAAGATATTTGACGTGCACAGTAGAGACGAGGCCGTGCTCTGGCTGTGGCGTGCGCACAACGAAGTGAACGCACGACTGTCAGGAGATGACACAGAGGATCCCGAACATAAGAAGATACAATATCCCGCAGCCGAACATTGCCCGACCTGTAGATACACCAACAGCAGCTGGAACGAAGAGGAGGTTCTGCGATATTTGAAAAACAAATATAGTCACAATAGCATTAAATATGATGGAATCAGCAACTATGACAATGACAATAGTGAGACAAACAGTAATAGTTCGAAAGTGAGACCAGAGAGATTCGCCAAAGAAACAAAGAGTACCACTGCCTTTGGCTGGGACTTGAATATATTCGATATTAGTATCTGTGTGATATTGTATGTTACTTCAGCCGCGATACTCGTGCTGGTTTGTATCAAGTTTGCTGTCAAGAAGACATATAAAAAGAAAAATCACCTCAATCTGTTGCCAAAAGTCTGATCTTTATACTTTGCTTTGCATTTGGTTGACGTCATGCAACATTCCTGGACCAGCAAGTATCACTCAGACATTTAAGCTCGAATCAACTGTTAAGTCACAAATTTCCAGGTTGTATAATATTTCTTTAATTAATACCAATCATTTCGATTATACAGTAAAAGCAAAACAAATTTGCAATTTTTTTAATTTTATTTTTATTTAATTTAAGGAGATTGAATTTTAGGTGAAATTTACAAATTGAATTCAGGGAAAGTTAGATTACAAAAATGACTAAACTTCGTCTATTTATTCTTTTCCTTGAAATCAAATGTTTAAATTTTATCTAAAATTCGAACGTAAACTCTTTTAAGTCTCTTTAAGAAGAAATATTTTTTATTATAATTTGTTATTTCGTATATTAAAATCAATAGATATATAAATCAGTAACTAGATAGCGCCTTCTCTCCCGATGAATTAAATTAAATTGTATTCCAATGAACTCTGTATAATAGCAAGATAAATTATTTATATCTTTTATTTAAATTCACGAGGATTAGGCATGTTTTTTTTTGTATAATCTACAATTTATATAAATTAGTTATGCTCAAGAAACTCTTCACAGAACTGTACAACGTCGGTAATGATTACATTCTTTCGTGCGAGTTTTTTAAATAAACATATTATGTTATAAGCTCACCATTTCACAAATTTAATGATATTCTGCTTTATACTCTTATCTTCAAAGAAGATACTTCACAATTATCAATTCCTAATATTTAAGTTTACTAATTATCTGTCAGTACTGATTTTGATGAATTTGCTCATTAGATTTGTTTTTTTTATGCAACACGAAACAAAGCGAATAAATAATCCTTTTTGCGATAGTCCCTCTCGCTATGTGTGTATGTACAGAGTCTCTCTGCTCTGACATATTTCGTAATACCATTTCTTGTTTCTATGTATAAATTATTATAAAATTATCGCAAATTATACAATATATGTGCGAATAGAAGAGGAGTGTAGCAAGCTTCAAAAAATTTTTATAAAAACAAGAAATGTATAATGGCCATTTGAAGCAAAAAACACTGGTGATAATGTGTGTATGATAGAGACATTACTTTATTCAAGCAGGTAACATAGAACGTTTTCGGCCTTAGATTAAGCCTTTATCAATATATATATAAATATGATGTTCTTGAATTAAAACTTTATCGAGTCACATGATTTTTTTTTTTTACAATTTAGAAATATCAAAGTAACTGAGGATATCTTCCTCAGTTACTTTGATATTTCTAAATTATAAAAAAAAAAATCATGTGACTCGATAAAGTTTTAATTCAAGAACATCATATTTATATATATATTATCACCAGTGGTTTTTTGCTTCAAATGGCCATATGTGCAAATGTCAGCGCTTCTTTATCTGTTTGTACATACATACACGAATGTTACGCGACTGAAACATAATTTTCTATCAGAGAATAATATTATTGTAATAATATTGTGTCAAACCCTAAATAGTGTAAAAACAGTAATAATTCAATCATTTATTATTATCATATGGAATATCAAAGAATATAAAACTGCTGTTAAAAGTACGAGTCTGTTATCTATTGTCATAATTTTTATATACATATATCTTGACGCTTCCGGAAAATACTTCTACTTTCTGTTTGTATTGTCTTATATTCCTATATTCTTTAGATATTTTTATATACAAGAAGAAAACTTTATGCTGTTTAGGGTGAACTGTTCGGTAGATGTTAAAGTAAAAAAAATCAATTAATACTTGTCCAATTGAATTATTTAGCTAGTAATTTGTCGTGTACTCTGTATAACTTAATAAATCTCTGACTAGCATATTCTCAATGGCAAATAATCCGAGAGATTATATAAAACAAATGGTTGTGATGTGGTATATTTGTAATATCTGAATAAAACTTCATTTTTCACATGGATAAATGTTTTGTATGTGAATAGTGTTCCTAAGAGAAAAATTACCTCTTTATTGATTATATTATATTATAAATCATTATCTATGTACAATTTTTTTTACAATAAAAATGTAACACATATATTGTTTTTTTATATTAAATAATAAAATCAACATCATTTATAAAATACTTGAAATAACTAATAGAAAAGAAATAGAAAAGAAATTTATATCAAATAACATATTTAAACGCAGTTTATAGATTTGAGTATAAAATCAAAAATGCCATAAAATTACATGATGTTTCTTGTGTGAAACTAAATAATGCAATACTGTTTGTCATATCTATAGAAGGCTTATTTATACAAAAATTACAAAGGATATATCAATGTAATATAATTATTAACAGTAATCAATATATATCTTTAGTTGATATAAAAGTACAGAATTTTCAGCTGTTGAATTACTTTTTGTTCTTTGATCATATTTAATATTTTTAACATACTATATATTCTTATATACATTATTACATTATTTTTACATTATTTATTTTAAACGCATTTAAAATAAATAATAATTTTTATAAATCATAACAATCGGTATAAAATAATTTAGTTCTTTTTAGAACACAAATTATCCCACAGAACTCCATCATGAGGTAATTCTGATTTTATATAAGGAAGCAACCATGTCAAGTACCACTGTTCTCCAAACACCTCTCTAATATTGTTCTTCCAACCCATGTTGTATGTAAAATCTTTCTTATTACTTTCATTGGCCACGATACCTTTGAGAGTCAAATTGAAGTGATAAATACACAATACACCTGTATACAAAGTACCCACTGCAGATGTTATGTATAACAATAAGTAAAACTGATTGATGGAAAAGTCGACACCGAAGAAAAAAATTGCTACGCCAAAGATCATCTTGATGATAGACATCGGGAACTCAAAGGGTATTCTGTTCCAAATGAAAAAGTGTCCGTAGTAAAAGGCATAAGCTGCACCAAGAAACAAATACCAGATGAACATGAGGAAGTAACGATGATTGTAGTAGCCTATGCAGCACCCAGTGAATACACAATGGTGATCCCGCTTGAGGATGCAGGTATTACAAGTGTTGCAATGCCAGGATCGCGGAGGAGATAAACATTCGCAAGTGGCGCATAATCTCCAGCCGTTTGTGGTCTTCCATGTGCTCACCGGCACTATAATTCTTTGAATACTGGTGTCGCACAGCACCGTGTATGTAAAATTACCTGTGATGTTCATCATAACGAAGGTGCCAAAAACAAAGTGAAATGTATAAGGTAGACTACTGTCCTTATATACTTCCGGCAATATTATCCACAGCCCGAACCAGTACATTAGAAGTACTATGATCAACAGGAACACCATTGACAGCAAATCGCCGATAGTTTGCGGCCATATCTTTTTCCGGACTATCATTGTCGTAGTTTCTCTCTAATTGAGTTATCTCAGCTTATTTTTGTAGATTTTTATTTATATAAGTCTCACCGAGGCCACGTTTTGTAGAATTATATCTTTTAGTTTTTTTTATTAGCCATCCAGAACATTTACCCATACGCTATCGTGCGGGATAATTACATATCTAATGTTTACATTGCATAGATATACCTTTGTGGTTTGGTTTGGTGCAAATATGGCTCACCGACTGGTTAAAGCTACGCCATTCACTGTATATTCTTTACCATAAGATAAAGTTTCCGCATAGCATATAAGTTTTCGGAGCAGCTCCACAGATTGGTAGCAATGAATGCTCGTATGTACCTATGGCTGTGTTCCAACCAGAAAGAAGCTTGGTTTGGTTTGGTGCTCTTTTGGCTCAGTAGACCCATAAAGCTGGTCCATACGCCATTCTATGTCTTTTTGATAACAGGTTTAAAACCGTGGATTGGGTTCCTGACGCCAAGCCACGGAGTTGTACATTTGTTTAAATTAAAGATAATAATAAAGAAAGTGGTGTAAAACACCGACAATTGTCCAAAAATATTCACTACGCACATCCAACCGATATGGCTGATGCAATCCAACTCTACCAGAAAGAAGCCTGAGAGCGGCCCAGGCTCATAAGAGAATGTGTAATTACTTTTCCGCACAGTAAACTAGCGCATGTCCACGGATGGTGCACATTGAAACTACGCAGCCATGTCTACGAGCGACATGTCGTTGCGCTAAGTCCACAGCTTGCGGTTCTATTCTGTGCTATGTGCACGAGTCTAAATGGTCACCTTCTTCAGGTGTGTAACTACATTCGCGAGCGTGGATTTGATTTCTTTTGGAATTTAAAATGATCGGTCTCGTGATGAGAAGATGAGAAAGAAGAACAGAAAAGGATAAGAAAAAACATTGCAACTTTTCACACAACATAAATGTGATGTACAAGAAAAGATGTGATAGTCAAGAAAATAATATTATTTTAGCGAGCAGCATCAGAATTCGTGGAGTGTATCATCTCCTTTTACATCATCATTTGCTGCTTTTTGCTTTATAAATTTTATTTTATTCTCTCAAAAACTACATATATACGTATAAATACAAATTACACAAAAAGACATGTATATTACACAAAGATGTTTTGCCGGTACACAAAATATATACGTCTGAAAAGTTGCAATTCCAAAAAGGATATCTATTACTCTGCTTTATTACAATTCTTTATCAGTGTGTTTTCAATTTTCAAGTTTCATTTTACAATTTTTTATACATTATAATAGAATACAATAGTTTACATATAACATACAATATAATAGTTTACATATATTACATATAACATACAATATAATACAATATTATACAATATACATAGTATATATAATCCTACCTACCTATCTTAAACATCTGACATATCTTAAACGTTACTAGCCTCATTAAATTAGGATTAAGGCTGCATAACAGCCTTGATCCTAATTGTACATTTTTATTTCTTCTACCTACCTATCTCCGATCTAACATATTTTTTACCTATCCGGCCTAATTTATTTTCTACAAGCGCGCTTGTAGATACGCATCCCTACCTACACAGATAACTACCTACCTACCTATTTACTTTGAAAAGTTTTAAAACCTATCAAATATTTTACGCGAGGGGCAATTGTTTTAAAATTAAAAAGTAATATTTTAGATATATTTTAGTTTTACGTCCGAGTTTTGTTTTAGATTTTATGATTGAAAGAAGAATTATATCCACCCGATAAAGCCCATCATGTATAATTAGAAGAGATAGAAATATTAATATTCTATAATAGATAGAAAAAATATATATTTTAATATATATATTTTGAATATATATTTCAAATATATATTTTTGCGAAGATAAAATAAAAAAGAATAAAAATGTAGAGAATAAGTCTCCAAAAAAAGATTCTATATCGGTTCTTTAAGAGAAATTGATATAGAAATATAAAAGTGGATGTAGAAAAAAGATATAAAGAATATAAGTCTTTAAAAAAAAAATTCTATATCAGTACTTTAAGAGAAATTGATATAGAAATATGAAAGAACATAAGTATCCAAAAAAATTCTATATCGGTTCTTTAAGAGAAATTGATATAGAAATATGAAAGTAGATGTAGAAAATACAGATAAATATATATATTTAAAAAAATATAAAAAAAATATATTTAAAAAAAGCACATATATAGAAGAAATATTACAATATTGTTTTAAATTACACAATATACAAATAAATGGAAATTTCATCAAAAAAGAATCGTCACTCCCTACGTATAATTACATAAGTACCACATATTTTCAGTTTATTGCATGGTGACGCTTAAAAAGTCATGTTCTTTATGGTCACTAAATATTAAAAAAAATATTCATAAGGTAAAAATTAAAAACCGAAAGATCCCTTAACTAGGGAAACTATATGAACCTTTAAACTTTTAAACTGCTCTCCTTTAAAATTTGCGTTTTGGAGTTACAAGATTATACGTAGAGAGTGACGATATAGTGAAAAATCAGTGCGATTACTACTCATGCAGAATAATTTATTCTTCTCAAAAATATTTATTGTAGAGATATAGAAGATAATAAATAATTTAATTCTAAATCATTATTTTTCCGGGAAACAATTCTTTATATATGCTCAAATTCTATATCTAGGCATAATAATTTTGCATGAGATTGAAAAGATCTCACATATGATTGTATTTAATTAAACATCATCACAGAGAGATATAGAATATGTCCATATATGAAGGATTTTTTTTCCAGATTATTATAAAAAAAACCGTTTCAGAATAATTTAATTAACTTACTATTTAAAATTTATTACGCGTATATAACTCTAAAAACTGTAATTTGCTTGTGTGTAAATTATACTACAAATTTAAAGATAATATATATAAAAAAGCAACCTTTCTAACAGTGAGGTGCTTTTTATGTGAGAAGAATAAACTATTTATAATAACGTACCGTTGCGCGTAGTCCATCGTCGTCCATCGCTGTATCTTCAACTCCAGTCCCACGTAGCAATCAGGAACCTACCTTTACTGTCCCACGATGCGAAGGGTGCGCGCCCACGACGAGATGACCGTAGTCCCACGACGCGGGACCACGTTTCAACTTACCGGTGGTCCCGTTGCTGTAATATGACGCGAAAACCGCGAAATCGCGAATGACTCTAATTTTACTTTTAAAAAAGTTGATAGATAAAAATTAAAACACAATCTCAAAATAACGCGAAAAATAATTCTTTTAAAAGATAGAATATAATTATTTTAAAAGATAGAATATAAGAATAATAAAAATGAAGTAAAAAGTTAAATAAATAAAGAATATTTTTATAAGAATAATAAAAATGAAGTAAAAAGGTAAATGAAAAGAATAGAATTTTATTCGCGACTCTATACTTTATGTTTAAATATTAAAGAATGTGTAGAAAGGGTGAAGGAGAGTAAATACAATGGAAAGAAGAATAAATTAGGGAATCTTACTTTTCAATATTTTCTTGTTTTTTTTTCTTTTTTTTCTTTTTTTTTGATATAGAAAAGGTATAGGATAGGTAGTGTGTGTATAAAAAAATGCAGAATGAAAAATAAGTAATAAGAAGTCAAAATAAGTGATTAAAACGAATGAAAGTTATATAAGTTTTAAAATATTTTAAAATATGTCGCACGAATTTTAGGTAAATTTCAAATCAAAGTTATAATCAAAAATCAAAGTTATAATATTGATTATTTTGTTAGTACGGAACGGAATTTGCGGTTTTAATTATAATAGTAATATTTGCGTACTTTTTACGCAAAACAGTCTCGCAACTTTTGCGAGAATCACTCCGCATAGCACAGCGAAGTATTTTGCTTCGTTACTTTAACGAAGCATCAGTCCGTAATTTTTTTGCGAAAATTGTTTATCGAAAACGGAACGGATCGAAAAAGGAAAATTAGAAACATAATGAAAAATTCGATACATCTACACATTCGAAATCTAAATTTAAGTTAAGTAAAACGCGATTAATTAAAATTTCTACGTGAAACTTTTCGTACTAAAACTAAAAATCGCGGTAATAGTAACGCTAAGTCGTCAAAATTAAATAAATATGTTATTCTTTCCCGATATGCTTTTCGATAGTTTCTAAAATATCTAACTTCATCGTAAAATTCTCGCGGAAAATCTACTCTTTTATCGATATCAATAAACAAGAAGTGAAAAAATGGCAAAAGTTTTAAATAAAACAATTCGCGAAATCTAAAACCGCGTACACGGTCGCGATCGCGTTATTTCCTCGCATTTGCGAGGTCCAAGGCGTCAATTTTGGCGCAAGGCGAACGAAACGTTCGCAATTTGTTGAAAATGAGAAGTCGTCGAGAAAAAACCGGTATAAAATAATTACACTACGGTATTAAATAATTACAGAAAATAACCATTACATAAAGCAAAAATCTGAATTGATTTGAAAAGAGTAGCAAATAGATCTTTTTGATAATGATATAAAATATCTCAAAAGTATCTTTATTATTCTTTATTATACTTTATTA